TCATCAAGCGCTTCCGGAATAAGGCGATGAACTACCGAGATCCAATCACAGAGGACTTTATCCTCCAAACCTGTCATAACAACCTCTCTTTGGACGTGTTAGAAGTTATGGGAGTAGCACCGTACAGCACTAGAAAGAGTTGAAAGTGCCCGGAGAGTAGGCCGAGTGCTTCCTCAGAAGGAAGAAAGCCGAGAGAAGCCAACCGACGGCTAACCCTCCAAACTCAAGCTTCGTCTCCCGTGGTAAGGGGAAGGCGCCTGTAACAGTTGTTGATGTTAATCAGACATCGTAATAATAACCCCAAAGACGACAAAAGACTTCGGATCCGAGACTCCAAAAGGAGTACTCCTTTAAGAATGAAGACGTTCCAGCCATTTTTGAGTCCCTCCTCAAGAACAACAAGATCAAACTACCACCTATCGTAGATCAGGAGGAAGCTGATAATACTTTGGATCCAAAGTACTGTGTGTACCATAGGAGGATCCTTCATCCTACCAAGACTTGTTTTGCTCTCAAGAACAGTATCCAAACCTTGGTTGAAGCCGGTGTCATAACGCTGAGATAAGCCGAATGAGAACGACAACACTCCAAAGAGTATACGAGTATAAACTGCTTCTCAATACTTCAACAGGTATACGAGTCTAAACTATTTTCTAATTTTAACGGGAAGTTCCTAGAAGAATATCGTATGTGATATTCTTAAGGATAACCCGACCATTCAGCTGAATACAATGTATTCCTCATTAGACCCAGTTTCATAAAGAAAGCTGAGGGTGGATAACCCATATGATAGGAAGTTCCTAGAAGGTGTCATGTTTGGTATTCTTAAGGATAACCTGATTACTATAAACGGGGATAAATGAGAAACTTCCACTCGGACTCTGAATGTTTCCAAGGGTGAAACGCATCCCACTTCTGGGATCAATTCCACCAACTCCTTCTGTAATCTTCCAAGCACCCTTTTGCTGAGATGAGATGAGATCACTTCGTTGAATCAATCTTTCCTCACGAAACTCCCACGGTGTAATTGTGGAGTGCTTGATGATTCACAGTTCTCCACTACAAAATCCCTCACTGATCAAATCAATTGACAGTGAGACCACTAAAATTCTTTCTGGTCTAATCCACTCAAACTTCTGATGTGTTTGTGCACTCAACATTAGAGTCCAGACATAGTACTTTGAATTTTAATATCCTGATCGTTAACGATTATCAAAGCCCTCCGTGTTAAGTATTTGTCACTTAATAACAGGAACCTCCTTTGAGTGATTTGTACGAATCAACACTCCCGATGTAATTTGTACTCCCACTCTCACTGTTTATTTGGTCAAACCTTCTTACAGTTAGGACCACAACCAAAATCTCCTCTCGATTCTTTCCATGAACGAGAGGTCCACTTTCAAATCGAGTGATCAAACATTCCTACAGTTAGGGTCACCTCAAACTTCTGCTTGGTCAAACCTTCCTACAGTTAGGGCTAAAACCATAATTCCCTCTCGATAAATAAGAAATTCACCTTTAGTTCAGTAATCAAACCTTCTGACAGTTAGGATTATCCGAATCTTTTCGATTCTCGGAGTGGAGATCCCACTTTTAGTTTCACTCTTCAGATTCTCAAAGTGGAGATCCCACTTTGAGTTTTCTTTGCAACTGGAGAGAGAATATAAAATTCTTCCTCTCTAGTATCGTGTTCGTCTTTGCCCCAATAAAAGACATTACTTTTCAACACCAAAATCCGTGCCTTACACGTACGGGGAATTTTATCCCGAATCCTAAATAGGGATAAGTTAATGCCTAACACGTGTTACTGGTTTAGTCTTTTATCGAATAAAAAAAAACACCAGAATATAAGTCTGGAGACCTTTATCCCGAATCCTAAGTAGGGATAAGTCAGCGCCTAACACGCGTTACCGGTTTAGTCTTTCACCGATTGAAGAAGACATCAGAATCTAAGTCTGGGGAATTTTATCCCGAAGTCTAAGTAGGGATAAGTCAGTGCCTAACACGAATTGCCGGTTAGCCTTTAACCGTAAAAAAGATAAAAGCCCACATATTCAATATTATAGCAGGTTGTTATTCATAACACCATAATCCGTGCCTCACACGTACGAGGAATTTTATCCCGAATCCTAAATAGGGATAAGTCAACGCCTAACACGCGTTGCCAATTTAGTCTTTTACCGATTAAAAAAGACACCAGAATCCGAGTCTGGGGACTTTTATCCCGAAGCCTAAGTATGGATAAGTCAGCACCTAACACGCGTTACCGGTTAGTTCTTGATCGTAAAAAGAACAAAAACCCACATATTCAACATTGTGGCAGGTTGTTATTCATAACATCATAATCCGTGCTTCACGTGTATAGAGAATTTTATACCGAATCCTAAGTAGGGATAAGTCAACGCCTAACACGTGTTGCTGGTTTAGTCTTTCACCGATTGAAAAAGATACCAGAATCCAAGTCTGTGGACTTTTATCCTGAAGCCTAAGTAGAGATAAGTCAGCGCCTAACACGTGTTACTGGTTAGTTCTTGACCGTAAAAAGAACAAAATCCCACATATTCAACATTATGACAGGTTGTTATTCATAACACCATAATCCGTGCCTCACACGTACGGGGAATTTTATCCCGAATCCTAACTAGGGATAAATCAACGCCTAACACGCATTGCTGGTTTAGTCTTTCACCGATTGAAGAAGACACCAGAATCCATGTCTAGGGAATTTTATCCTGAATCCTAAGATAGGATAAGTCAACGCCTAACACGCATTGCTGGTTTAGTCTTTCACCAAATAAAAAAGATACTAGAATATAAGTCTGGGGACCTTTATCCTAAATCCTAAGTAAGGATGAGTCAACGCTAACACACGTTGCCGGATAGTCTATTCCCGTAAGAAAGACGAAGTCTACGTATTCAATATCATAGCATTAAAAAAGTTAACTCTTTTAGCATAACGTTACATGAAGAACGGACTTAAACAATCTACATGCTAGCCTGACTCAAACGGTAGTCGGTAAAGGCTCATCAAACCCGTTGATGGTTAAAAGTTTGCCAAAAATCCTATAAATGCAAGAGTCATTGACGCACCAGCTTCATTAGTTGGTCTCGTGACTTAAGAATCCGATAATTTCAAGATAAGATCCATACATGCAGATGAATCAGCTTTAATAGTTGGTCCTACAACCTCGACATTTGGGACCGCCATACTCCAATACCTTAAGAGTTTAAACCGTGTATACTCCAGCAAATGTACGAGTATAAACTGTGTCAACGACAATTGATGCGAAACCCTAAGGTCAACGTCGGTCAACGCGTAACCCTAGGTCAACATGTTGTGATGAAAAGTCAACGACGGGCGATCCGAAACCCTAGGTTAACGCCGGTCAACGCGTAACCCTAGGTCAACGCCAGTCAACATGTTGCAATAAAAAGTCAACGTCGGGCAATGCGTAACCCTAGATCAATGCCAGTCAACGCGTTACGATGAAAAGTCAACACGATGCAATCCGAAATCCTAAGGTCAATGCTGGTCAACGCGTAACCCTAGGTCAACGCTGGTCAACGCGTTGCGATAAAAAGTTAACGCGAGGCGATAATATGAGCCAAAATCAACTCACCAGTTTCGATTCGAGACTTCAACGACGGCCAGACGATAAACGCAGCGCCGGAACAACTTCGGTTATTCATTAAGATATTGAATAGACTAAAAATTGAAGAAGTCAAGAGTCAAAGCTAACTACAGGTCCTTTTACACTGACTGAAGGTTAGACCGATCATACCCAAAGTATTTCAGGCTTATTTATAAAAAAAACAAGACTGAAACACTTTGGTTAGGCGTCAAAAATTGCCTATAGGTCCCCACACGTGGCTTAAGACAGAGAGAAGACGATGAATATTGTTATTCGAGTCACAGAAGCTCATATGGTGATGACAAACACATGAAGTGAGTCGATGGACCATACAAAGCAACGAAACTTCGGAATAATGGAAACACGAACTGATCGGGAGCCCCGCGTCGCTTACGAAATAAGAAGCACCCCTCATATCCTATTTATTCCACATATAATTCAATCATGGGAGCTTATATATCTCCTTGTTAGCTTTCCACTGTATATTGAACTACGCAATTCCGAGTTCGGACGATGAAGATACTGCAGAAACGGACAGAACGCGTGAATCGAAGTTCAGGCCAAAGTTGGCCAAGACACCAAATGGTGTCTCGGCCAAACCTTGGCCAAGACACCAAGTGGTGTCTCGGCCAAGGCTTGGCCGAGACACCCATGAGTGTCTCGGCCAAGTCTTGGTCGAGACACCAAGAGGTGTCTCAGCCCAAGCTTGGCCGAGACACCCACGGGTGTCCGCAGACCCAAAAAATTGAATTTTGGCAGTTTAAAACTGTTTTTCTATCGTTAACTGTCTGGATTTGTTTTAACTAATAGAATATCATCCAAGAACGTGGTTAAGTAGTTATAACTGAAGATAAGAGTGAATCGATCGTTCTTATCCGAACACAGGGCTCCTGAAGTCTATAAATACAACCCTAGGGCCTTTATTTTTTCAGATCTGGAATTCTCAAGCGTCGGTGAAGCCCTGCTGAATTGGAACTGAAGAGCCACGAATTTTAGAGAGGAGGAGGAGACTTCAGCGAATTCTTCAGCATAAAGAAGAGGAGTTCGTCAAATCTGCAGCCCGGTTCTTTACCTTGAGATTATCCCGTTGCGGTGATCTCGAGAAGAGTGATTATATTGTTGTTGCCGAGATAATTGCTTTGGTTTCTTAATTTCTTCATGAATTAACAAAACTCTGGATCTGATCTGATCGTTTGGTGGTCCACGGATATCAATATCCTCGTCACAGGCCAAGATCCCACACAAGCATCAGGCGATAAACACTCGTTGCGTTATTTGACAAGAGTTGTACTTATTTTTGGTTTCATCATGTAAAGGTCTTATAAAAAACTAACTTTTATTTTTATTGTAATGTTTGAAGTTGTAATAAACACAACAATAAATACATCAACTTTCTCCACAAACACCCCTGTCGGAGGTCGTCGCCACACATGGAAATCGCCGCCGTCGTAGAGCCCTGTAGTTTGTCGCCGAGGCTCCCTCCTCATCCTCTCCGCCTCGACCCTCCAAAAGCCCTAATCCTCCAAACCCTAACAAACCCTCACCTTAACCCTCGTGATCTCCGGCCACTATCTCCTGTTCTCAGAACTTCCAACGCCATTGATATCCTCCAATTTAAGGCCGCCACCTCCAGTGAGGCCGTTGCCTGCGAGAGCTCTCAGATTCTTTCCCCAAATCCCTAATCTGGTAAGTTTTTCTTTGCTAGATTCAGTTCTGATTTTTTTATTTTTTATTAAATTGTATTGAGTATATATCGAATTAATATATTTGGGAACTGTACAACTTTTACTTCTATTGTTTGTAAATATTAGTGTCTAATTTGTTATTCTTTAAATAAAGATATTTGGATCATGAGTAAAAATAGGAGTTTGCATGAGTTAAGGATTAATGGTTGTTTTTTATGGATTTTCTCTATGTTTTGATATTAAATGTTCTACGTTAGGCTTTATTTATGATGGTTATTTTTTCTTTATGTAATTTTCAAGAAACTGTCAGCTATGCATCTATAGTCAGGTGAAGAATTCATGTGAAGAAATTATCTGCTTGCATCATCAATTTAACGTATTCATCAATTCCAGGATCTATAGTTCAATTCGGGGATCGACTGATCTACTGATCAATTTGAGGTATCATTCACTTATTAATCTTTTATTGGTCTGCTTATATGTTCAATTGTTATGTAATCTCATCATTAAACTCTTTAATGATGGGGGTTCAATACCTTCATGAGGCCTTTGCAGGGTGATCTAATGCACATGTGAAAGTGAAGACTTAAAATGCCTTGGTAAAATCCTCTCTTTTACTTGTTTTCGTGGTAATTTCGGCTCTATTTTGTTGCTATGTTCTCAAAATTAGAGATTTTGAAGGGTTTTGGTGCTCTTAGTTTGCTTAAAGTTTAGCTTTTGGGTGGCGTTAAGTTAAGGTTTCTATTGTTTTCTTGTGCTTAGGGAAAGTTTTGGTTTTTATGGAATTTATTATTCAATTTTATGGTTATTACTAGATAAGATGTAGTTGATTGTATTTCTTGTGCTGAGATCTGTTGTCTTAAGGTTTTTCTGCTGATGTTATTAGGTTTTGGTCAAAATATTTCTCATATTTATCTCTTGGCTATGAATGACTTGAGGTTTATGATTAGTCGAGGGGTAGGGTTTCTGTATAGCCTGTAGTATTCTTCATATCAGAAATAAATTTTAGACAACTTATTACCTGTTTGTTTATTTAGATTTAGAGTTTTCTCCCCATGTTTGCTTTGGTAAGATTAAGCTTAAGGAACTTGTTCTTTCATTAATTTTATCTTATCTATCAATGAAGTTTGTTTCATGTGTTTTACCTCTTTGTTTGAAGTTATCACTATCCTGTCTGTCTCATATATTGGTGATAATTCATCTTAAGTGGAGCATTTGCCAATTGATATCTGGAGGAGAGAGGTTACTTAATGGCATATGAAATTCAAAATGGTCTCATTGAGGTATATACCACAGTTTTGAACCCTACTTCTTAGGTATATAAAGCTTTATTGGTATATAAATGTTATCAACTACAAGTTTTATGTTAGGTATATAAAGCTTTATTGGTTTTGATAGAGTTGTTGTCAAATATCGGTGATGCGTATATAGTGTCCAGTGGAGTTACAAGTCACCATTGATGCTGACAATAGTCATGGTGTTCCCTCTATGAGTGAGGAGGAGATTAATGCTCTTCCAGTACACAAATACAAAGCTCAATCCAAAAATTTGGTATTCGTCAACTTTAGAAACTTAAATATACCATCTAAAAATTTGGTTATAAATATTTCTACATTTTAAGGACATTTTCTCTACATTTTTTGCTTTTATTTTTGTTTCATTTGAATTTTTGGCTATAGGTTGTTTGCATTTCTGTCAGTGGCATTTTTCCTTCTACATGTTTGATCTAGCCACTTTGTTGTTAAACAAACAAATCTAAGATCAAGCAAATCAAACTTCGTAGAACCTTTACCAGAGGAGATAAGGTCTTCTATCACTGCAACATCTGTTTGATTTAACCATTGTTTTAGTTGTATCTTTTCTACCATAATATTTTCTATCTGTCTTTTTATTTTTCCTTTTTGTCCTCTTTTGGGTATTGCAGGTATGTCGGTAACATTCATCTCCAAGTCACTAAATCTCTTCTTCAAGAGGTCTTCCAAAGTTGTGGTGTCCTAGAAGGATGTAAGCTAATCAAGTCACTGAATCCCCTTTTAAGCATATACCTCTTGTCAGACACCAAATACTACTCGTATTAGTGTATTTGTAGTAAATAAAGACTGAGAGGTGTACTTGGCACTGTAGCTAGAGAAATGGACAAGTATTTTTCTCTCTTTCCCCCCCCCCCC